GCAGACGCTTTTATCCAAAGAGACCTACAAACGAGGACAAAAGAAGCAATCAAAACCAACAAAAGAGCAATAATATGCAAGTGCTATGACAAGTCTCGGTTAGCCAAACACAGTACACGTAGCAAGTTTTTTTTTTATATTTATAATTAATAAAAGAAAGTCAAGTAGATAGAATAGAAAAAGAAAAGGGAAATCTAGTGTTAGAGGGTATTTTTTATAATAAATAAAAAAACAATTAGATAAAATAGAAAAAGAATAGAGAAATCTAGTGTTAGAGGCTCTCTCTCTTTAAAAAACAAACAAACAAACAAACAAACAAACAAACAAACAAACAAACAAACAGGTACTTAGAAATTGATAGAGAGTGCAAGTGTTAGAGGGTCCAGTTTTGTTTTGTTTGTTTGTTTTTAATAAAAAAGAAAACAAATAGATACAATGGAATTATAATTGAGAGTGCTAGAGTTAGAGTGTGAAATGAAGATGGAAGAGATGTGTTTACAAATCAAACGCTGTTCTTTTGAATTTTGTTAATCAAAGAATCCTGAAAAAATCACGGTTTTTAACATTGATAATAATTAGCATTTTCACCAACAAAAATGGTTGTAAGTCAGTTATTTTTCGCAGTATATCTTTTGCCGTAGTGTGTCAGTTGGAAACATTCAATTATATTTCCAAACATTCCTTTTGCCATTAATTGTAATAATTCAGTGAGATTTTTGTCTGACAACAGCCAGTGCTCCACACATAGATAAGGGGACCGTTCTTCGTACGTCGCTAACTCAGTTAGCTGGATATGATTGTTGATGATTTGGCATGATCTTGGATTGGTTGGTTCTTTGAAGCTCATCCCAGAGTTGCTGTCATAGCAACAGGTCCTTAAGCTTAAACCTGCTCGGGAGCAGGCTTATTTAATGTAAACAGGATTAGATCACATCTTTGTAAGCAGAACTGATACTTAAAATCTGTCCCAGTCACTGATTTATTAGAAGAGTACCCTACTGATCCAGGGACAGTAATTTACAATAATAATAAAAAAAATTAATACAAAAAATATTATAATGTTGTGTAGTCATCATCTATAACACTATAGACACAGCCAGGTTTACTCGTTGAAAAATTTATTTGTGATGAAACAATTACATTATAATTGTATTGGAGTCTTACACGCATGCTATACAGTTAATCTGAGCCGTGCATTAATTTGAGTGGTGACAGCTATTATGGGAGTGGCTTGATGGAGCGCAGAAGATGCAGATAAAGTGATCTTGACCATTAAGAAACTTTAATTAATGCTGTCACATAACAAATCTGCTTCAAAGATAAAATTAAATGAATTGCTAATTACAACACTGAAATAAAAAATGTAAAGCCTGTAGCCTTTCGTTTGAAGAACCAAATTAGCCAGAGATCAGTTATCAGTTAACATCAGTTATCATCTCAGATGTATTAAGCGAGGTACAAAGAACGGACCCCTGATCTCATCATCATCCAGCCTGTATGGAATGACATGAAGAATCAGAAACAACTGAGACAGATTAAATCCAGAAAAACCGTGGCAATGCCTCCAAGATGCTTGAAGAAACCTTCCTGAAAAGCTACAATACTGTGAAAGGTTTTAGGCGCTAATAATGCAAGTGTAAAAGTGTAAACATGCTGTAAAGTGAGGATGCATTCTAAAATAATGACATAAATAGATTTTATTTATCAATTAACTTCTTTTAACTAAATCAAATCAACATCTGGTGTAACCACCCTTAGCATTTAAAACAGCTGTTGTCCTTTGTGCATAGTTTTTCAGGTAGCTTTGCAGGAAGGCTTCTTCAAGAATCTTGGAGACGTTGTCACGGTTCTTCTGGATTTAGTCTGTCTGTTTTTTTCTGATTCTTCAGAAATATATATATATATATATATATATATATGGCATATACCGTATATAGTATTTCTAGTATCTCTATATAGTTACTACACACATTCACATTCATATTTATCCAATCTTTAAATGAAAAGAGTAAGAAAACAGTATAAAAGAGAAATAAGCAGAGAGTGTGACTGGAGGAGAGAGTACCTGCTCCTCTTTAGTGTAGAGCTGAAAACACTCATCCAGCGTGCAGCTGTGCTGCTGTACATGATTCTGCTGCTGGATTCTCACACTCTCTGCATCCTCAATAACTTCCTCTTGAATGTTACCAAAGAGACTGAAACAGATATGAATCACACATAAAATTACTTTTAAACCATATTACTGAGAAGACTCTTACTAATACTGGGAACTTGACACTTACGGTGGTTTTAAATTAAATGAATGGTCTGCCTTTAAATAAGAACATTTTATGAAGCTGCATGTATCTTACCATTCTTTGATTCTGTTCTCCCATTCAATCACAAGCTTCACGTGCAGAGGACCACCAGGGCCGCATAATTTCAGGGCCCTGTGAGAGAAAGACATGATTCAGACTGTGAGTTCAGTATTCAGACACTAGGGGGCAGACTATAATCAGTT